GGAACCAGCGCCAGATAATGGAGCCTGCGACATGCTCGTTCTGGGCCCCCTTCGGGACCTGCCAGAGGCCTGATTCGCGGCTAGAGACCGAGAAGATTCGACCGAGTCCCTACAGTCACAACACGAGGAAGCTACCGTAAGTAACGGCTCCTTTAGTGTTGATGAGTTCGAACGAAGTTGAGGAGTCTGGCACCCTGGCCCAATGGCAACTGCAGACCGTGGGCAGCTGGGCTTGGCTGTCTTCGGGGATGTGCTAGCTAGTAACCCTGGCTGCAGATCCTGTTGTCACGCTCCAGGAGCCCACATTCGAGCGAGGCGTGTGAGATACTGACCAGTGGGATTTCGCGGGGTCAAAGCCGGTCTCAGTGGACGGAGGGCCCCTTTTCGTGATTCCAACCGGCCATCCCGAAGCAGCATGTGCTCGTGGTCGGACGGTGCTGATTGCTTTTGGACAGCTTCTCGATCAGGTTTCCGGTTACGGCTGGTGCTTTTGCCTGTTCGGCCGCTTTCTCATCGGAGACCAGCTTCGATTTGTCTGCAGGGACCCCGCAGCTACGAAGGCCATTCGACACAGCTAGCGTCAAGTGTGAACTGTCAAGTGCTCGTCGAAGCAAGAAAAGAGTCGTAGAAGGCCACCACTGGTACGCTGAGCAATGCAAGAGGTGATGTGGGCTGTCAGTCAGGTGTCTCGGCAGTACTGAACTAGACCACAGTAGGGTGTTGACCTTGATCAAGCCGACTGGCGCTGACGGCAGGAATCATGACGGACATTGGGTCGATCGTGCAGCGGGGACTTAGTTTGGCGGTGGTGGGAGGCCGCGCAGGGAAGACATGTTTACTTGTGAAAGACTGAACCTCGTAGCAGGATGTCTCTCTCCAGAGCTCTAACTCTCTTCCCGTGTACCCAGGATGGATGGAGGGACTGATTACGGATTGCGTCTGCCCGTCTTTGATGCATCCCATGCGGCCACGTGCGTGCGACGTACAGGGCGAAGGTGTCATCGAACAGACTGCCTCTTTACAATACACAGTCGTCCACGAGGCATGTTACACAGAGTGCCCCACAAAGCAGCAACCGAATGGATTCGCACCGCGACACGGCAAGGCTCGCATCGGCTTCTCGCTTGTCGACTCCAATGCGCGTGGTTGCAGATGCCTCTTCCTTATTCCAACCTGCCAATTACTCCGGAGCACTGGAAGCAAAAGTCGCGAAGTGGTATGTCGATGATCCGTACTCATTTCCTGCATCAACAGGTCCACAAGCCCCTCATCAACAGTCCTGTAGGAGCCTCGTCTACATACGTAAAAGTCAAATGCAGAGATTCTCTCAAACTGCCAGCTTGCAAAGCACGACATCGTGCCTGGGTATGTGACAAACAAATTCGTCCCTGACTAAGGAACCCAAATCCATAGACCGTCGCTTCCTTATCCGTGCCTGAGCCAACCGTGTCTCGTTCTTCGAGAGTTGATTGCAGGACAAGTCCCCGCAAGCCCTCCCCTGGCGTCATCGCTAACCAAAGTGCGCCAAATAGAAACTGTTGTGGAACAGGCTCAAAGAAGATTCGTAACTTGTCATGAGCTTCAGAGAGTCGTCGTCGGTACCGTTGATTACCGGCAGGCGAGACCCCATCAGGACCTGTTCTTCTCAAAGGGAAGATGAGGAAGCTGGAGCAGCATTGGGCGTCGTTGAAGCGTTTTTCTCCTGCACACCCTGGCCACGACACATGGGGCAGCTATTCCGACCGGTGGTGAGCCACTGGAGACATGTCAGTGTATCAAGAAGAATTGGGCATTCGCATGGGTCTGCTTACTTCATCGATGCATTCGCGGTGATAGACGTGCTTGCATTTGTCGAGACGCCTCACTTCCTCCGAAACCTCATAATCCGCCAAGCATATGAGACAGCGTTCTCCAAGGTTGATCGCCAGAGCGGAACTATCATTATCTTCTGTGACGGGCTGCCCCAGCAAGCCTGATTCGTGGACAACGAGCCTGAAGACACCGCCGGCGGCACTCACGTCCTCTTGTGTTGCAACAGGTGGCTTGACAGGTCCAAGTAGCGTTGACAGCATCTGCATATCCTCATAGGACGGATTGTCGGTGAACAAGCTGGGCATAGCGAAAGCAGGATGATCTGGCGACACATTTGTGCCCACCACATATATTAGCCAGCTTCGTCCGGCGCCGGCTGGCGGCGGGTCAGGCTCCACCATTCCGTTCCGTCGCGCTGCACCTGATCCTAGCTCTGGGCGACGAGCAAACTCAGAGTCACTTCGTCTGCGTTGACGGGCAGCGTTGAACGAAGTCTCGTACGGAGGGTTGTCCAGCTCCTGTTGCGGTCGATCTTCGTCAAGATCCGAGAGTGTCTGATTAGCTGCAGCAGAGGCAGAAGACGGTCGGCGTATCGGCGTGGCATGGCCACTTCTGATATCTGCGGGCGTGGACGGAGGTGGATGAGGTCCTGGAGGAGACTCAGAAACGAGTGTAGACCCCGGGCCCGCATCAGGTGTGGTCGGTGCTATTTGATCAGAGTGACTTGACAAGCGGCTGTTGTGCGTCCTTGTGCGCTGGTGTCGTTGAGACTCGTACTGGGCAGGGAAGCTGAAATTCGTCATCGAGTGTCGTCGTGCGGTGTGCCTGTTTCTTCCATCTGAACGCCGGAACAGGGCGCCTGAGCTGCCATTTCTCAAAACATTGGCAGGGGGCAAAAAAGGCAGGCTCAAAAGCGTATCGAGACTCGGGCCTAGTGTCCCGTTTTCGCCCCCAGAAGCGTCGGAACCGTGAGGGAGGGACCGCACACCCACCAGGACCAATGTTACGGACCGATCATTGTCACCAGGCCCTGTGATGGAATCCAGATCCATTTGATCGACGTCACGAGCCTGAGCTTGTGAGGCGATAGGCGATCCGTTCTCGTCATTCGGGAATTGGAAGACTCTCATGAAGTTCACTGGGGGAAGATCACCGTCGGATGCATTCATGTCGATGTTCTCTCCAGCTTGTGCTGTTGCCGCATCTTGGAGCGTCTGGACAAAATTCTGGATACTTCCGTCAAACGTATCGCCACTCAGATGACGGCCACTAGTGGAGCTTGCGGTGGCATGGCCTGAAAGCTGTGCTGCGATGGCTGCAGCAGCGAGCTGGAGGACCTGCGAAAGGGGCGGGTGCTCTCCTCTTCTTATGAGTCGAGTCGACCTCGATCGCAGACCTGGTTGAAATCGTCTGATTGTACTCATGCCTGAGGTGACTCGGGGCGAGGGCAGTAGCGTTCTTGCCTCGGGCTCGACAGCGTCCAGCTCGTGCGGAGCTTCGTCATGTTCATGGCGGTGATCAGCGGAGGCGTTGGACAGCAAGAGATGATCGGATTCATCCGCAAACGTGACTCTGGGTGGTCTGACGGGGGATTCGCGCCCACTCTGCGTCGACTGCAGCTGCTCTGAGGACTGCCGAAACAAACTCGAAATTCGCTGGGAGATAGACATGGAGTCGCGTGCCCTGCTGAATCGGTTCCGATGCCGTAAGCCAGCCGTCGCCAGCGAAGGCATGTCTCGCAGGTCGTCGTCCCCATCATCATCAAACGAACCTCTGCGCTCGCGTGCTCCGCTTGTGGTCTGTAGAAGAGGGAAAGGTCCGCGGATGGTTCGCCGTCGGGACTCGGTGCGATTGTCGCCACGTCTTCGTATCGAGCCCGCGAGGGACAAGCGACTGTTGCCATCCGCGTTTGGTTGGCGTTCGTAGACAGAGGGGCGTAATCGGCCAGACAATCCATGCCGTAATGCGCGGCCCTCTTCTGCAGTCTCCTCTCCGCTGTTTAACAGACCCCGCGCGACCGCATCTGGGAGGAGTCGCGAACCAAGTCTCGACATCGTAGACCTCCTCCTGATCGGCGAGGGCGAGACGATGGGTGTTGGGCCAGCATCTCCCATGTCCACGTCTCCAGTGGCCACAAGCGGTCTATTTTCCTGTTCATACTCCATCTCGGAGGGCGACGGTGTCGAATGACCTGCATTCGGACCTGACGACATGGATTCGGCGGATCGATGGCGTCGGAAGGTGTCGTAGAGTGTACTCGCTCTATGGCCCGCGGCCCTTAACGGTTGGGTATTTCTTCTCGCTAGCCGCGACCCGCCGCCTTCAGTTCCTGCGTCACCAGTTGTGGTCTCATTGGCATTTCCAGCATTCATCATCTCACTCGACTCTCCATTGTTCGCCTGAGCACGCAGTGCCGAGCTGGTGTTGCCCATATTACGGGTTTGGTGGCTTGCCGCCGGCTCAACAGTTGTGGGCTACTGCGCCCTCATGACCAAGGGCGTCGAATCTGTGAGACTCCGGTCTCGGTTAGGTTTCGTGATTCCGGTTTGAGGGTCGTATATCGATCGGAAGACGGCCGAAGTGGAATGTGATCTGGTTAGGTCATGTAAAGTCGCCACAGCTGTTGTCAGCAGTTGAGACAAGTCGTCCAAGCTTCCAAAAATCGTAGTGTAAAGCAAACGTGGATGAATGGGCACGGCGGTGAAAAGCGATGTGGCCACTGTCTCAACAAGGAGCATGCACAACGCAGATATCAGAATCGTGGTCTGGTGGTGATGTCAAGGTTGAGGCATTGATGAGGTGTGGGTGAAAGAAGGCTGAAGCGCTGGCAGTGGTGAAGACCAAAAGCCGCCCCAAGGTCTAAAGCAAGGCACGGATCAGGTGTCACTCACTTTAACTTTATGGAAGTTGATCACGCAACAAATGCAAAATGCCCTGTTCAAGGACGGCCGCGAGGACCTCGAATCACTCAAATCCTTTCATTCTCAACTCAACCACCGCGTGTCTCACCTTCATCTTAGTTCGTTTCCAATAAAGGTCTTTGAGGGCACCCAATTATTAATTTGAGTGATTACCCCCGAGTATGACTGTAGTGTATCAATCGACGCGCTTGCTTTTCTGAGCACTATAGGCACTGACACACGATTCATGCTACCACGAATCCACCTTGAACAACGCCGTCGACAGTCATGCCTAATATATTCGCACCGCCGGTGGCTGCGTACCGGTCACATCCTGCAGTATGGAGTCACTCCCAAGGAAGCCACAAGCGCAAGAAACAAAGACTGGACAAAAAAGCTGGCAGAAACGAGGACCAGGACGGTGGTGGGTTCCGAGATCCAGAGGTACAATCTAGCAGCAACCTTGAGTACACAGCTGTGGTCACTCCGCAAGAAAGACACCAACGTCGCGTGGCCGGCCAACCTCTTGATCAAGAACCACCGCAGTTCCCGTTCCCTCATGCTGCAGATCCCGCGACGAAGGTCGGTGCTGGACGACGCAGTTCGCTAGAGGGAGGGAAGCGACCAGAAATAACCCATCTGCCAGAGACACCACAGTCTTTGCACATGCAGCACCTTGCGGCCTTGACAACCATACTTCATCTGTCACTGCTAAAGGAAGATTTCCCACGCGCATCCCGCGCTCTGGGCTTGCTGTTCCGCGAAGACCTTGTCAGCGAGAATGCTGCGATGCGCAATCGAGGCTTCATGGGCATTGCGGCAGAAGTACTTCTGCGCAATGGAACTTCAAGAGACCACAGCCTGGATTCGGCTGCAGCTTCACACCCTTTCACGCGCGAAGGTTTCGAGAAAGCCAAACGTCTCTATGAACGACTTATCGTCAGGCACCCTTACCACAAATCCTGGCCTCACGTCGTCAATGCTATTGACTTTTACCTGGCGATGTTCAATCTATGGATTTACGTAGTTCATAACGAACATGCCACCCCATCAAAGAGCCCCGAGGACATTGAAAACGATGTCGGGCCCAGCCGAAAGGTGAGAGAACTAGACCAGGCTAATCAAATTGCCAACAGAATGGACACATGCATGGCAACCGTCCCATACATGGACGAGCCAGAGCTCATCAGACTCCGTGCAATGGTCGCACTCTGGACTGCTGATCTCCACGAAGACTGCGCCTACATCGTCAAGAACAACGACCCTCAGGCCAGCGATGACTTCGCGGAGCAGCATGGTCTGCCTCTGTTGCCGGAAGAAGAACAGGCGTCGCGAGAGAACGAGCACCTCTCTGAGGCAGGCCTCGCACGTGACAGGGCTCGGGAACTACTTTCAAGATTGGGAGGTCATGCGACAAGCGAAGATGAATGACCTGCATGAAATAAATCCCAGCCCTGCAGGATTCAGAGTCTCAGCTAGCGACCCTGGCACAAGACACCCAGAGGGACGATTCAGCTAGAGATCCTGTACTCTGTAATTGAGTGGTCTTCGCATACGGCACTGAATCATTCTTTTACTAACAGTGCTGATTCTCGATACCCGTGCAGCACGTGTGTCGAATACTGGACTGCCGTTCGAGGCGATATTGCTCTGGGTTGCTCTCCGACTCGGCTGCGATAGGATTACGAGGCCCACGCGCCTCTTCTCGCTCTCTGATTCGTCGCTTCCCGAGCGTCTCTTAGCACAATTCTTTTGAGGATTCTTTCGCGACTCTACGAGTATCCCACCACTTTTTAAAGGTCTTCACATGCAGCACCGGTCCTGGTGATCCTGCTGGCAGCCCCAGAATGGAGAATTCTGGAGGCTCCGTGGCCGCTGTCTTCGCCACTCAATCCGCCATATGGCTCTCATTCTCCATGTGATTCGCGGACAACACAATCCGCGTATCAACCATGGCAAAGAATCTCATGTTTTGCAGTCTGCTCATAAACTCTAGCACGGACGCGCTCACGAGCAACCCGGTGTTCACCCTCAGTCTCTCCTTCTTCCCCTACAAAGTGTCATTGTTGTTGGTTTACTGGCAACGATGGCACACTTCAGCTATGCAGAATGGCAACGACTCAGGGGCTTTCACCTCGAACTTGGACTGATCGGTGTCGGTTTCACTGTCCTCGTGACTATCTTGGGCGTCGTTCTCTATCGGCTTGGCGGGCGAATCCCTATTGACAAGCTGACCAGCAACCCATACATCAGATTTGTCTATGCCTGCATGCTCAAACCCCATGAGAGGCGGTCCGATGGCGGTCAACAGGGTGCTCTGGAAAGCTTTTACTCGACTCAGGTAGGGGAGACCCTATTCGTCTTTCCCTCCGCTCATCCTGGTTCAGGCGAACGTCTATGACTCTACGCGGAAACGCCTTCTGAGAGGGAGAGAAGATATGCTTGCAATCCTTGTCGCCCAACTGCAAGGCAAACTGGCCTCCGGAGACGGACGCAAACCGGTCTGGTATGACATCGGCGGCGGCACCGGCTACAATATCGAAGTTATGGACAAATTGGTGGGCGTGGAGGGCTTCTTCGAACATGTCTTTCTTGTTGATCTTTCCACCTCCTTGTGCGCGGTCGCCAGGGAAAGAGTCCACAAGAATGGCTGGAAGAATGTCACAGTATTGTGCCAGGATGCGAGGTCGGTCGCGTGCAATCCTGGGTCTGCTGACCTTATCACCATGAGCTACAGCTTGTCCATGATCCCCGACTACTACAGCGTGGTGGACATGATTACGAGCTTCTTGTCCCCGAAAGGCCTGATTGGGATCGTCGACTTCTACGTCCAGAGCGTTGTCGATTACTCGTCCCGAAACTATTGCGGCGGGGCTTTCAATCGTCATGTCAACTGGTTCGGCCGCATGTTCTGGCGCACTTGGTTTGAAGCAGATCGAGTCAACCTCGACGGTGGGCGTAGAGACTACGTGGAATACCGATTTGGTACTATCCTTTCAACAAGCCAGCGAAACTATCCTCTTGGTGGGTAAGTCGTAAGAACCACTCCTAAAAAGCAACGCCTGTTTGGGTGTCAGAATTCTCTCCCTGCCGAAGAGAGTCATCTGTAGGCTTTCTTGGGCAATCATGCCATGCCGGTCTGTCTTCGTTAGGCCGGGACCAATGTTTGTGTGTCTACGTCCTTACTGACATACACCTTTTGTAGCATTCCTTATTATATCTTTATCGGCTGCAGACGAGACGCTGAGGCGTTCGCAGAACAGGGCCAAGAAGTCCTCGAGAAATTGGACGCCGCACTCACCGAATCGCCTTACCTTTCGCCAATGAAATTCAAAGAACGACGAAACCTGGATGCCATCCACGACATCCCACGCTCAAAATCCTACGAGTCAGCCATCGTGAACTTGAGCAACGACCTGCCACTGCCATCTGCCTTCTACCAACAACATCACTGGCGGATCTACTACAACGACCTCCTCCAAAAGCATCAGCAGTTCGGCAACGAGTACATTTACGCCTTTAACTGGGAAGACCCCAAAGTCGATCGCCAACTCCTGAACATCAACCAAGACGACGTAATCCTCACCATAACCAGCGCGGGCGACAACATTCTCGATTATCTTCTTGAGAAGCCCAAACGCATTCATGCAGTCGATCTCAACCCTAATCAGAACCATCTCCTTGAGCTCAAGGTCGCCGCCTTCACAGCCTTGCCTTACAGTGACGTCTGGCAAATCTTCGGCGAGGGCAAACACCCAGACTTCCGCAACCTCTTGCTCTCGAAGCTCAGTCCGCACATGTCGAGCCAAGCATTCCAGTACTGGCTCAGCAAATCCTACATCTTCTCCTCCAAGGGAGGACTTTACGAGAGCGGTGGTTCTAGGCATGCCATCAAGCTCGTCCGCTGGCTGTTCAAAACCTTCGGTCTAACAGCTAAAGTACGGACTTTGTGCAAGATCGAAACACTCAACGAGCAGCGCGAGATTTGGCCCCAGATCCGAACTCTTCTGCTGAGTTGGCCGTTGCACAAGACTGTCGTGTCTACGGAGTGGTGGGCGTGGAAAGCCGCGGGTGTCCCTCCTAACCAGCACGCGCTGATACTCGACGATTATGCACAGCGGACTAAGCTGCCGAAGTCGAAGAAGCTGTGTGGGGAGGCCATCTGGCAGTATGTTGTTGATACGTTGGATCCGGTTGTGGAAACGACCCAGATTAGTAGGGACAACTATTTCTACTATCTGTGTCTGCAAGGAAAGTTCTCGAGGAAGTAAGTCAGGATCGCCTCTATGTGACTGAAACTGTCTGACAGAAGTACACAGATGCCATCCTCGCTACCTTGGCGTCAAAGCCCACGCACAGCTCTCGAAGCCAGACGCATTCGATGGCTTGCGAATTCACACAGATGAGATCATGGAGGTCATTGCCCGCATCAGCCCATCAACACTGACCATCGCAATAGTGAGTCTCCGACCTTTCTTCTTCGTCTGGTTCGAGGTCACCATTACTAACTCGAATCCGTAGCTCATGGACTCAATGGACTGGTTCGATCCAAACGATGCCGATGGAGCTGCAGTCGAACAAATCGTCTCGCTGAACAAAGTCCTCCGAATCGGTGGCCGAGTCCTGTTCCGGTCCGCGGCGCTGAGACCCTGGTACACCGACATCTTTGAGAAGAATGGCTTTGAAGCCAAGTGCGTGGGCAGGCGAGACTCGGGGAAGTGTATCGATCGGTGAGCTCAACGAGTTATATTTTCCTTCTGGGTCACGTTTAACCAATCTATGCAGTGTCAACATGTACGCTTCAGCCTGGATCTGCACGAAGAAGGTCAACATCTCCGACAGCCCGATCATTCCATCGAAGCGGAAGGACACCGTCGCCGCTGCAGCACTAGAGGAGTTGAAGATCTGAGGGGGGTTAACGCAGAGCACTCCGAACGAGTCTCAATCTTGCCAAAGTGAGCGTCTTCAGTGATCCGTTCAGGTTGCCCTTTGCTATGCGGGCACGATCCGTGAGAAGAGGCAGAGGGGAAGAGAACGACGAGTGAAGGGACACTGGCCCATGAACCAGCCAGCCCCGATCACCGAACCACCTACACAAACCATCATACAGCCTTGATAGACTCCCCTGCATTCGAATGACACAATTGTTGTTGTACAGCGCACAGCTATCGATTATTATGTGATCTGATCTGCCCCAGCGATCCCATCAAAGCTGGATGCTCAAGAATGTGCGTCTTACGTCCCCAGCAAGACGAGTCGCGTCCTTCTACAGTAATTAGTGTTGTCCTGCTCTTCCTGTGTTTTGGCGCACCCACGTCGCCACATCAGTCTCTCGTGAATCAAAGGCACACATATCAAGCACCACCCTCTCGTTTTGCGTACTCGTCCTCGATCCGCTCCTCATACTCCCGATCTCTCTCGGCCTGCTCATCGGTGACGTCTTGGATCCTCCTGGCGCCACCATCTTCGCGGCCACCAAGTTGTCGACCACCAGGCGGGATGTACGTCTCGTCCTGCAGTGTGGGTTTCCCCGTTTCCTCCGTGGTGCGGCGGATATTCGTGCCATCGCGGTCATTGGACGTCATGGTCTCTGTAATGGATTTGGAGTGCCCTTGCGGGTCAGTGGTGCCGGAAGAGCTAGAGTATGAGGAGGAAGAAGTGTACGAGGTAGAGGCGTAGTAAGAGCCGGATTGTCGGTCAGACATTGTGGTGTCAAGTGAACTCGTATGTTCGAGGTAACCACGCTGAATGGCGAGCTGGGTGTTCAATCCCGAATTATTCGTTAACAACTTAGTTGGCTGGGTATCGCTAAGCCTATGGAGGGTACGGGTCCGAGCAACTGGTACTGGTACGAGTATGCTCTTGTGAATGCGCGAGGATTCTTGCAGGATGGGTACGAGGTAGGTACATACGGACCAGCAAGGACAGCGGCGGAGTTATGTATCCTTCGCTAGCGAAGCCTTGCGTCACATGCACCGACCGCTCGCCCATTGAGATTGAGCCCTCTCCGGGAGGTGGAGGCGTTTCGCGTCGCTTGTGGCGACAGCAGTGATGTTGACCTGCACCCTGTGATTTGGTGGTCGTGATGATCGAGGCTGTGAGAGAAATGTGCAGTGCGGGGGAAGAATGGCAACGCTGCGGGATTGACGTCACCATCGCAGACCCTGGCATTGTGATCAACCGTGATAGGAATTCGGGTCGGTCACAGTACGGTATCGCGCACTTCGGACGAAGCAAAGCACCAATTCTGTCCAGCAGACTTAATTATTATGTTAGGTAACTCGTATGTGCCTATGCTCCGTGACAATAAGCCTTGGTCTCCTGCAAAATCTACTTCGGGTCCAAGGCAGCCATCCCGACAACGGTAGGTGGCATCGCCGGAAACAACGAACCAGCGAGCACGAGCTGTGAAAGTCGCCTATGATTCTGCCTCTCAAGCGAGGATTAGGACTTCTCTGGATGAAGGGGCCACCGCTTCGACTGATGACGGCTATATATTCGAGCTTGAATTGGTGCAACATTGTTCCCGTCCGAACAGGACAGTACCTTCGACATCCTTCACTTGCATGCTCACTGAGTTTTAAGTGTACTCGCAGTAGCACCCATTGCCGTTACCTCATGTTGAAATGGGACAAGGCTTACCATAGAAGATCTCGGGAGCTTCCAGGTTAGCGGTCTATCCTGCGCGAGATGTTATCAGGACGGCGTTGTATCTGGATATATGACTGTAGATCCGGTAATCAAGTCCTGGATGATATTGAAACCATGCGCGGTTTAGTCTCTGTGTCTCTGCGTACGATGATGCCGCGTCGATTGATTGATGTACATAGGTGGACTGAACGGACCGTATGCAGTAAATATACATGGACACACGAGTCCTTCCTCCTCCGTTTCGACGCCTACTATCTTCCGAGAAGCTGGATTACTTCGAAACGAGCCACAAATCCATCGCACGTTCAGCCCTCCACCTAACCGTGCCTTGGTCAAGGTTCCGCATCCCTCATATCGCTCTTGAACCGTTCAATACACCGTTGCTTTGTCTCCTTCCAGTCCACATACGGCGGTGGGTATCCCAGTTTCTCGAACTCGTCCTTGTCCAACCGGTGGTACGGATCGTAGATGGCTTTCCCTTTCACATCCCTCAACTCTGGGATCCATTTCCGGATATACTCGCCCTCCGGATCGTTCTTCTCCGCCTGACTCACCGGGTTGAAAACCGTATAGCTCGGCTCCCATCCCTGGGTATTGTTGCTGAGGTCCCAGTCGATCAGGGTTTCCGCGAAATAACGCTCCCCGCGCCGGTAGTCGATGAGCAGGTTGCAGTACAAATAGCTGGACACGTTCATTCTCAGCCTGTTATGCATGTAGGCCTCATGCTTGATTTGTCTCATGCCCGCGTCGACGAAGGGGACGCCCAACGTGCCGTCTTCCCACCGCTGGTACCCTTCCTCGTCATCTTCCCAATTGACGAAATCGAATTTCAGATTTTGCGGCATATTCATGCTCGTGTGTGGCGTCTGGACGGTCGTCTGGCGATAGAGTTCGCGGAAGACCAATTCTCGCACCCAGCCTGCCATGCCCTTGTCGCATCCAGACTGGGAGAAATCGGTCGTGCCGTTGTTGCGCTTGCAGACGGCGGTTAGGATCTCGCGCACAGAGATGACGCCGGCGGAAAGGTACGCCGACATCCGCGACGTGGAATCTTTGGCTGGCTGGGACCGTGTGGCTGCGTAATCGGCGATCTTGTCGTCGAGGAAATGTGTGAGTCGAGCGGTCGCGGCCTCGTGACCAGCAGGCCACAGCTGACGGATGCGGTCGCGTTCCTCGTTGCCGGAGAACTGTTTCTCCTCCGGTGGCTTGGGCACGGGACTGTCGAAGAAGGCCTCAAGCTCCTTCTTTGCTTCAGCAGTGTTCCGCACCGGGGCTGCAACGGTGTCAATCAGGCTGGGATCCGCCTTGACCTCGGCGAGCCAAGCTCTGTGGTAGGGCGTGAAGACCTTCATCGCCTTGCCGGCGTCTGTGAGCATGGTGCCCGGTTCCATCACTGTTTGATCGTGATGCATAGATAGATGGAAGCCTTTGGATTTGACATTACCGTCGCTGGCGGCCTTGAGGACTTGGATGTCCCTTCGCAGCTCGTCGATTTCGTACTCGTAGTTCGCAAAGACGTGCGAGATGCCGTTTTCGTGAACGAAGTCGATGATCGTGGGGACAATCTCGCCACGTTCACTGGCTTCAAGGAATACTAGGGGAATGTCCTGCTTCTGGAGCTCAGCTTTCATGAGCCCCAGGTTCTCCATGATGAAATCCGTGCGCGCGGGCGAAGTGCCGTGCCATCTGAACTCTGCTGGACAGTTGACATACGCGCATAGCAGGGGAGCGTTCGATGTTTGGGCAAACTGTGAAGCTGCGTGCAACGCTCGATTGTCATGGATACGGAGATCTTTGCTCCGGAACCAATGCAGCGTCCTTTTGATATCTTTGCGCGACTGCTGGTCTTCAAGCAGCGACCGAAGTTCTTGGTATGGTGTCTCCGGTGAGTCGACTTCTTTGGCGCGCTTGGTAGTCGGATGCTGCTGCTCCGGGTGCTCTGCAGCGTCTCTCTTGGACATTATTCGAAATCTGGCAGGGTTCAATGGTGTGCTCGTTGCACGTGTAGCCTGCTTGTAAAGAAATGTATCACGGATCGATTTGGATGCTAAGGACTGCAGGCTGGAGGCAAGGAAGCAAAACCCCTGGCGCGTCTTTCTAAAGGACGACAAGCTGAGGGCCGCCATCTCAGATGATCGACCCTGTACGAGTAGCAAGAGACCCTGATCTCTGGGGAGATCGAAGCTAGTATCTGGGACCTACCTGAGCCGATCTCCGGCGCACTTTGTGCTCGGTCAAGAAGAGATCTGAAAGTCATGACGTAGCGAAGAAAGGACATTCCCAGAGTCCTCGCCTGGAGTCGAAGGGGTCGTCTGCGTTGGGTGAACAAAGACTCCCCAGCAGTGTCAGCTCGTAGGCAACCATACGAAAACAAGCCCAGCCCCGATGTATTGCTGCGCAGTGCGACCTTTGCAAGACTCTCTCACCAAAGTGATCCGTCTTCGCTGAATTGACAATGGCACATAATCAGTGTTAAGATAGCAGGGATGAATGGCGGACGGTTCTGGCACGTCTCCCGCATATGGACGATGCCTCAACAAGTGGCTTTCAATTCTCGTCACCAAGCGCGAGCAGAAAGTCGAGACCATGGTTACCAGCAATGTCGAGGCCGAAGCGCCTATTGAATCCAATCTACATACCAGGTGGCCAAGCCCGCTATCGCGGCTCTAGGCTGCTCGAGTTGCGCACTGGCTACGAGTAGGGCATTGTTGACAATTTAGTAGCATCTCAGTTAAAATATATATATATATCGAACGTATCCGTTGCCTTGGGGAGTTAGGCTCCGGGAGATACATCCGCATCAAAATCTGCAGCATTAAGCACTCTCAACCATCAATAATGGCTTACTTAGGATAATGCACCGGCGGCTGCCTCGGGTCGCTTCCGCACAGGAGGCAGTGGGCAGCTAGATCAGGACGTGTGCCGGCCTGGTGGCTGCATAATTGAACTCAAAAGTCCGACGACGTCGTAAGCGCCTTGGACTGCGGCATGACGCTGCTGACACCTAGAGCGAAAACAATGGGGAGCTTCTGGAAAGAATGGATCACAGATGGTGGGTTCGATAGCGGGCTTGATCTTCATTGCCGAAACCAAGTGGCGGCGCAGCTGCGGTAGCTATTCGATGGCTCGTGTTCGGCTGCCAGAAGCGAGAACTGGGCTCTTGATTGAAGTGAAGAAGATGTGAGGGACCCATGACGGTATTCCTTTTGCTTTCCTCCCATCTCAATACGTTGCGTACAATCTGAGGAATGGGCCGTACAAACTCAAAATGAGCAATCTCGTGAGAAAAGAGAATTTACAGGCTACACGCTCCGAGTGTGTTTTGCTCTCGGGGATTTGAGAGCGGCGTCGGGTGCAGGGGATTGGATCCATGTCTGCAGGGCCTGTCAGCGGCAAGTCAATTTGGGTCGAATGATGCAGGGCTCGGAAATCCGTGTTTCTCGTGCCGAGGAGCTGTCATTATCCCTGCGACCAACGGAGTCTTATGCATGAGTGGTGTCTTCCTGAGTGTGAGTTGCACCAGTGGCATGATCCAAGGCGGATCTTGGTCAGCTTGGCAGTGTTTTCGCAACTGCCTGATCAAAAGATTGGCAACCCTCGGCGACTTGTCGAGACCGAGTCGACATGCAGTATTTCGCTGACTCGTCTTCACTCTTCACGACGACTACCGAAGTCGGGTAACATTCTGCCGTGTGGCCCAGGTGCACCGGAGCCGTACCGGTACACCCGTCTCTCACCCGTGAGATGATGACGATGAAAAGAAGCTTCCAAGGCTGACGCAGAGGTCTTCGAATCGTCGGAACCAGATGCAGCGCGGAAGACCATACATATCATGCTACAGGCATTAACGGAGCTGGGAGCCTGGCGGCCTCCCCATTGTGAGGCTCATTTGCATGCTGAGACGTTACTTGGCCCAGTATAGGAAGAACGAGCCTTGCGTCCTTGTGCACCTTCAAACACGTGGAACACGGGCCACGGCCAGCAGGTGTACCTCTACGTGTCTTGACTGTTATCAAGTATACTCTGTTATCGGGTTCTCCCATATAACTATGTATGCCTTGTAAATGCTTTCTATATCTCCTAGCTTCCTCCTTGTGTTTGTTCCATTCGGCGAGGTTCCCTACAACAACGTTCATTCGAACCGCACGTAATCGTCGATTGCAGTATGCGGGATCCCGACTATCAGACTGAAGAAGACGGCTGCCTCAAGCACCCTCCAGAAAGGGTATGTATGGTGGAAGTTCTCCGTGTAGTAAATTGGTCCTTCAAGCATCATCAGAGAGTAATCTGCTGTCAGCGTGGCAAACAGGCAAGTGAATGCTGATTTGGTATTGATACTGTATATCGCGTTCAATGTCCTTCTCATGCTGGTGCACTTGCCATCGGACTGCCGCGTGGTTCCGAAGATATCCAGACTCATCAGGCGCGAACAAGGAGTCAGATTTACTCTAGCTGTGGCCCTGGACTGTCTTCGCCATCCTTCGGTCTGCTCAAGTCCATACTTACACCTCTTACACCTCCAATGCTGCTGGCATTATTCAACCCAGGATGAAGAGCTCCAGCCACCTGAGACACGCTGAAGCGCGCAAACTCGATTGAGAGTTGCAGTCGTAGTCCTGCATAACATGGCCAACATCTCTTGGCAAATGATACCCTGTCGAGCAATGGGCACCATAGAAGAAGCAAAAATCTGTCTCAGAATCGTCACAAATCCCAGACCATGCCTCGAATAAAATTTGAGGTTGCATCAAGGCCGAGCTCTGCTTCCGCGAACCAAGCGGAAGATATTCGGGAAAGGCACAAAAGGGATGAACGAAACCGGCGGTATTGCTGCTTCAGTCGTCTGGCGGATCCTGACTGGACAGGCGTCGCCCACTGGTCTGGCGGTGATGCGTTTGGTATCAAGTGTCCTGCCTGACCGGAGCAATAGGCGGGCGACGCTCCCTTCAGGAGCAACTGGTGGCCAAAGCAGAGTAATACTATTATGTTTCTGGTAGCACCTCATTCGCCTCCGAGGAGTCGAGATTACGACGAGTTGGTTTCAGGCAGGCCTTTCGGCCATGATGTACTCGCACCATACCACATAATTACGGAGTACTCTGTGACGGCCATGTCAGCCTGAACCCCGATAGCGCGGCGCTGCCGGACAAGAGCGCCGCGTGGCGCCTGAAGCGATGCCACGAACAACGCCTAACCAAGCCTATCCAGGCAGCATAGGACGTATGAGGAAGAGCCGGGAGGAGAGCACATTTCCGCAACTCGTGCTTCTGACGTGTCCATGGCCAGACCAACTGGCATTCCCTTTACCCTTTAGTGGTCTTTTGGCTACGTTGCAATAAATACATGGGAAGTGGCTGTGCCAGTAAGTTCAGGGGAGCCGTGTGAAGCCAGAGATGTACGAATACAACATAAGTGATCTTGACAGTCAGACCAAAGAAACCGGGCATCATCGCCTAAGTTAACTGGCTTGCAATAATAGCCTGCTGTGCCAGCTCCACCCCTGTCAGTTGTTTCTCACCTCGTCCTTGGTGCTCTCTCGGCTGGGAAAGGCGGCCCTGATTCTGCTTGGGACGCGTTTTCCGTTCATCTCCGCCAATGCTCAATCAGTCGAAGTCTCGGTTTGCCTCATCCCATCCCTGTCATATCTTGTACACTACCATCCATGTGCATAACTTCTCCGACGACGTAACGTGCTCAAACAATGAACCTGCACATGACAGTCCAACCCGAGTGACGAGAGCGAATGATAAGTCGGCGCCGCGTCGCAGCATGACACGAAGTGGTGATTGGGAAGAACCTTCGAGTTTATGCTTCCAGAGATCGTCGCGAGCGCAAGAACAGAGTATCAGTGGTACGTCCCGGAGGACTTGGCCTCTACCCCATTGCGGTCGAGGTACTTGGTATACACAGTACTGTGCACTCGTACGTATTCAGCACAGTCTTTGTGTCGACCATTGTCCAATTTTCTGTTGTCGCCGCCATGTTTCTAGGTTGCTCTGTGGTCTATTCACGGTACACTTTGCCTTCACATAACCCCTTGAGGTAGATTACACTGCTGTCTTATTTCAAGTCTGCTTTATGCTGAGCAGCGTGTCAGATGAAAGCTTCACGAGGGTGATCGATGAGTTCTCGCTGCTTTTTCAACCCGAGGTTGTTTCAGCGATTCCTCCATGTGATTCAAGGAGCACTTTGCAGTCATTGTCACCAGCACACATTCGCGTCGAAGCAAGACACTCTCCTAGTATAGGGGATGCGTAATACCATTGTCTCTTGCGCGCATGCTTGCACACGATGATTATAATTATTCTACCCTGTACGAGTTACGAGTGTTTGTAGCGCGATGTGTCTGAGTCCGACCCCTGTCAGTGTTGACATCCCCTGCCAGCGCCACCCAGCGCCCTCCCCGATCGACATTCTGGTGGGCCCATGGTCCGCTGATGATTGGCTTACGTGGCCAAGGTGGATTTCCACCGTCACAGCGGCTGCGCACCGACTGAATCATTCATCCAGCGTGCTGCGACCCTCTGGCGATTGCGCTTCTCTGCCAACTGTTGCTCGAATCCCTTTTCGTGTCTTCTTTCTTGTTTAATCAATGTCTGCTCTCGAGGCGGACAGTTGAATTTGCACGTTGGATTGGCTTCAGCAGATTACTGAGCAATTGGCCCATTCTCCGAAACCACAATCTCCTTCCTTCGGGCCACCAAGCAGTGAAAACTCAATCCGTCTTTTGACTGGGTTTGAGCTCACGTCCGAGTTTAAAAAATCTTCTTACCACTTTTGCCTCTCAACCCTCCCTTCCGGCAACCAACCACCAGCTGCTGCTGAGAACCACATCATCATCACGTCCGCCCACTCAACTGCCGCCCCAACCCAAAAAAATCATCCTACGGAGCTTCCAAGACACAAAACCTGCCCACTTTCCACTTCTCCCACTCTTACCCACGCAAGCCTACGCCTATCT